AAGGACAGATCCTGAAGCTGAGGCTCCAGTACTTTGGCCATCGCATGAGAAGAGAAGACTCCTTGGAAAAGACTTTGATGTTGGGAAAGTGTGAAGGCAAGAGGAGAAGGGGACGACCAAGGATGAGATGGTTGGACAGTGTCATCAAAGCGACCAACATCACTTTGACACAACTCCGGGAGGCAGTGGAAGACAGGAGGGCCTGGCGTGCTCTGTTCCATGGGGTCACGAAGAGGCGGACACGACTAAACGACTAAACGAACGGGAGTTTGATTCTCCGCTGTGCCTTTGTGGGTCCAATGTTGTTCAGTGCTAAGAGGAGGAGGATGATTAAAAGCAAGAATCCCACCATGCACCCCAATTTTTCCCAGGCGTTTGTAAGGTATCTGAAAGCAGGCTGGGTTTTCCCTTCAGTGTCAATAGTCTCTCAACTTCTCCTCTGTCGTTGGGGTAGGTAGGAATACTCACGAACATCCCAAACAGGGTCTGGGAGAAACCAGTCCTTCACAGAGTAGACTGAAGAGAGGAATTTGGGAATTGTGGGACTGAAGAGAAGGGGGAAGCTGGGCCAAACCGGGATTAGCACCAGCTAATCTGAGATTTTTGGCACCGGTGACTTCTCTGCCCCAAATTGGTTAAGCTTGGGTCAGGTGAGATTCACGGACACGGGGACGTGACAGGGGAATGGAAAGGAATGGCTGGGTCCGAGATGAAATATTTAGTTATTCAAAATATTTTTACCCTGCCTTTTTCCTCAAAAAGGACCCAAGGGGGCTAACATCATTAAAAGACAGGGTTTTAAAGCGAGAAACAGTAAATATACAAACATTTCAAAAGAATTAAACAAATATTGTATTAACAACGGTCAATAAAATTGATACTAAAAATGCATTTAGTTGCAACTAAGGCACAACTTGTTGAGATTTTGATATAAAAATGTATTAAATATTAATGTTCTATCGTTAAATGTAAAATGGCTGATTTTACCGGAGTCACTGTACGGATTGTATTGGTATCAAGGATTTAGACTTACTGTTGTACAGCTGTGGTACATGAGAAAACTTAGTGTAACAGAAAATGAAGTCATGTATTTTCTGATGGGTCACAGACCTGTATGTAAGTCATGTGTAAAATGAACGTCTCTCTTTGCTGTAAGTCAGATCCCTTTTTCCTATGCTGTGTGTTGTTGCTTCATGTCATGTAAAGCTGCCAAAGGAATGTCTATTCTCTATGTATACGTTTAAACAGACTAAGTTGTTGGTTTTACTCTCTATGTGTCATCATGTCATAAGTACTTTACTTATTTTCTGATGGGTCACAGAACTGTACGTAAGTCATGTGTAAAATGAACGTCTCTCTCTCTGCTGTAAGTCAGATCCCTTTTTCCTATGCTGTGTGTTGTTGCTTCATCTCATGTTAAACTGCCAAAGGAATGTCTATTCTCTATGTATACGTTTAAACAGACTAAGTTGTTGGTTTTACTCTCTATGTGTCATCGTGTCATAAGTATCTCTGCTAACCAATATCTCCTTACTCTGCTGATGTTATGAGAATACACATTACAATCAAAATTCTCGACACAACTATACATTTAAAAAATCCCCACTCAACCTGCCAGTCCAGTGGGAGGGAGTTCCAGAGTCTGGGAGCAGCCACAGAGAAGGCCCTCTCCCGGGTCCCCATCAAATGCATTTATGAGAAGGAGATGAGACCTAGAGAAAGGCCTCCCCTGGCAGGCTCATAAAGGAAAACACGGCCCTTGAGACCGCTTCGGCCCAAGCTGTTTAGGACTTGAAAGATCAAAGCCAGCATTTCGAATTGTGCCCCAAACCGGATCGGCAGCTGGTGGAAGTGCTGTAACAGGGGAGTTATATGTTCCTTGTACCCAGATCCAGGTAACAATCTGGCCCCCATGTTTTGGAGCAGCTGAAGATTACGAACATGTTCCAAAGGCAACCCCAGGTAGAGTCTGTTACAGTAATCCAGCCTGAATGTCATTAGGTCACATGCGGATGCCGGTTTTGTGTCTCCTTCTGCCCGGAGAGGAGCAGCTGGAGGGCTGTAATGTGCTCAGGGTGGGCCCACACACATGTCATTACTTACAATTGTGAACAGATCAGCAGTAAACTAACAAACCACAGATTCACAACAGACTTAAAGAGAGGGAAAGGGCACTCAACAGAGAGGCGGGGCTCACGTTGAATTCAGAAGTGGTGGGAAGGAACGATTGGTTAGTGCTGGATAGATTGGCATTCACGCCAGTCCACAAAAGTCCCTCCCAGCCATTCATATAACGATTGGTTAGTGCTGGATAGATTGACATTCACGCCAGTCCACAAAAGCCTGCAAGGTTGCAAATAAAACTCCAGCAAATAATAGATCACTTTGTCGGCAGCTTTGTTTTATTTTATGCCCCATGTAGATTTTGTCCTTTTCCAATGGCTACCAGGCTTCATGTCAACATGTTCACAAAAACTATCCACCACAGCTCCAAGATTTTTCTAGTGCTGGATAGATTGACATTCACGCCAGTCCACAAAAGCCTGCAAGGTTGCAAATAAAACTCCAGCAAATAATAGATCACTTTGTCGGCAGCTTTGTTTTATTTTATGCCCCATGTAGATTTTGTCCTTTTCCAATGGCTACCAGGCTTCATGTCAACATGTTCACAAAAACTATCCACCACAGCTCCAAGATTTTTCCCTGCAGCCATTGTCTGCCAGCTCTGACCATAGCTGCATGTAAAAATACAATGCTGGGATTTTTAATTTTTGTGTGGGGTGCCTCATCATACATTTGGTTGTGTTGGGTTACACTCCCCATTTGCCTGCTTTGGCAAGATCCTCTTGGAGTGCTTATCCTTCAGTGTCATCAACAACTCCCCCCCCCCAAGGTGGACAACCGAGGAGGCAAAGAGTCTAAAAATTGAGCCTTCTGAGGAATGGGTGAGAGAGGTGGGCTCACTTGGCCTGAAGAAGAGAAGATTGAGAGGAGATGATCGCGATCTTCACATATCGCACATATAACCTCTCTGGAGGTTATTAAACAGAGGTGGTGTGCCCGTCTGTCAGTGACGCTTCAGACATGGATTCCTATCTGGGCAAAGCGCTGGACTGAAGGGTGCCCCAGGCTTTCTTTCAACTGGACAGTTCGATGAGTGGATGAACACTGTGCCACTTGGGAAAAAGCCCTGGCCTCATTACAGAAGCCCGAGGGACCCCACACTGCTCTCACACACACACCCTTGTAAGAACCAACCATCATAGCTCAGCCTCTGGGCTATGATGGCTAAGGCTGAAGGGGGTTGTAGTCCCACATCCACTGGAAGGGATGTTGGACTTTTTTGTTGTTTAAGTCGTGTCTGACTCTTCATGACCCCATGGACCAGAGCACGCCAGGCCCTCCTGTCTTCCACTGCCTCCCGGAGTTGGGTCAAATTCATGCTGGTCGCTTCGATGACCCTGTCCAGCCATCTTGTCCTCTGTTGTCCCCTTCTCCTCCTGCCCTCACCCTTTCCCAACATCAGTGTTTTTTCCAGGGAGATGTTGGACTACAACGTGCTTTAAAGTGACTGGTCATATTACAGGTAAGGAGTCACATGGGTCTCATAGTCTCAACTATCCCCCACCAGCACTTGGCTACTGATCCAGACACCCTCACAGGAATCAGCTCCCCATCCTGCCTCATATCACGTCGCTGGATCTCTCTTTCACAAATGTTGAAAGTGCCACAGCTATCTTCAGCAGGAGATCCGGCTGCTGCCTCTAGTCTCAGATGGGACAACCGTGGGATTTCCCACCCATGCAGGCTCTGCTTGGCTCCGTCTCAGAGGATCATCACAGAACCACAGAATAGGAGAATCATAAAACTGTAGAGTTGGGAGGGACCTTGTTTAAAAACCTGAAAGGAGAGACCGAGAGGGCGAGCCCTCTGAGGCAGCCCATTTTACTGTGGAACAGCTCTTACTGTCAGGATGCTAATGTTTAGTCAAAATCTCCTTTCTCATGCTTTGAATGCAATATTACTGGTCCTACCCTCTGGGGCGATAGGAAACAAGCACGATGCACCTTCCATGTAACACCCCTAGAGACCTCTTAAGATAGCCGACAGTATCACGTTTCTCTTCTCCAGGCTAAACTTGCATATAGATAGGGTCTATGGATCATTGAAGGCTTGGATCAGGGAGGGGAAAAAGCCCATATTCACTTATGCTCATATTTAGATGAAGCCATTTTTCCCTTTTAAGAACTATCCCGCACCTTTCCTGGCTCAGCGTACCTCTACGTGAAGTTCTACCAAGGGGGAGGACTCACCTTCTTTCCATCCAGCGTGTAGAGTTTCTTCACTGAGTACTGCATGATCTCAGAAATCTCATCTAAGAGCGTTCTGAAACTCCGTGCATTTTTTCGGCTGAGGACAAACGGCCGCTGGGCGGTGATGTCTCCGTTCCTCACCAGCGTGATTTTCTTTGGGAGCTTTGTGCCCTGTGGAGTCCCCGTGGCTGCGTGGTCTTCTGGCTTGGCGTCAGGGGCTGCCTTCCTCGCCGTACTCGCCGGTTGGCTGTTCTTTGGAGGCCCGGTCTTCCGGCCGGCGGCCCCAAGGCTCACGGGGGTGGCGTACTTCTTGTCCGAGCAGAGGTAGCACCCGCCGTCCTCCAGCTGGTCCAGAGTGCTGATGCAGTGGATGCCCCGTGGCGTCGTGATGGTCCGCACCCCGAAAGGCAGTGGGACCCTGTGGGAGAGGTCATCCATGAGGGCGTTGAAGCTCTTGAAGGTGCGCTGGTTGATGGCCATCTTGACCCCTCCGAACTGAGGGTCTCCACTCTTGTAGAAGGTTATCTTCTTGGCCGGGGCCACCTGGGTGACACCATTGCCCCGAGCCACGGGGGGAAGGGTCTGCTCATAGTTGTAGGGGCCCGAGGTGGAGAGATCGTCAGCAGATGGTTGGGTCATTCTGCCAAGCGCTTAGAGGTAACTGCAAAGCCACAGCAAACTGCTCTGGTCCATGGGGTCACGAAGAGTCGGACACAACTTAACAGCTAAACAACAAAAAATTTTGCCTGAATGTGTTTTCACATATGGTATTCTTCTCCAATACCCTAATCTAGCAGTAGCTTGCTGTATTTTGCTACCACAAATACCAAATATTCTTGCAATGTTTTCTCCCTCTCCTTTGAAACTTTATCTCCACTTTCCCCCTATTCTCGTCATGTTCACCTTTCTTAAAATTCCCTGTGCACACAGATAGGTATCCTGCCATTAAGAACTTGAGAATTGTACATTTTAAAGGAGAGCTCCCGAAGTTAGATTTTTTCAGGATCTGATTTGTTTAAAAAATTTAGAAACGAAGGAGTTGGCTTCATTATGTCGGGTGACGTCTGTACTCCACTTAACCTGAAATTCAAGGAAAACACAGCTTGTACACCTCGTTTTAAAATGTAGGCTTAGGGGGAAAAACATGTGGTTGAATGACAAGAGAACTGCTGGGTAACTCAGCGGTTTAGGTCTCTGGCTGGAAAGCCAGATGTTGGGAGTTCGATTCTCCACTGTGCCTCCCTACCAGGAGGCGGACGGGATGATCCATAGGTTTCCTTCCAGCTCTGCAGTTCTAAGATTCTCATCATCATCATCATCCTATAATAATTATTATTATGATCTATCAAGTCGATCCTAACATCTGGCAATCCTTCCAATGGTTTTCTAGGGAAGAGTCACTCAGGGGAGCTTGGCCAGTCCCACTTTCTGGTGGCATCTTGTCAAGGCTGTCCAGAGGGCAGGGCAGGTAGCCTCTCTAGGGGATTTCAGCTCTTTGTGTCTCCTGGAAGGCACGGTTGGGGTTCCCAAATCCTAGTCCTGGCTCTGCAAATAGGCAGTCCAACCCACTGAGCTGTACCAGGTCTTCCATCAAGCAGAATGGTTTTGCTTTTAATGGTTGGTTCACATGGTATTCTACTGAGGGCCAGGAAGAAGCCATGACATTTGTTCGCTCATTTGACAACGACAAGATGCATCAAGTTGATTCCAATCTATGGTGACCCTTCCTGGGGATTTCTAGGTATAAAGAAGGGGTTCACCATTCCATTCTTTTTCAGTACACGTCTGGACTGTGCTGCTTGCCCAAAGCGACACAGACTGTTTCTTCTCCTGGGATGCACAGTGGGGAATCATACTCGCAAACTCAGGCTCTTTAGCCAGATCATGACTCCGGGCCTGTCCAGTGTGGCTATTTTGGTGTGGGATGGATCTGGCTGCAAAGGGTCAATTGTGGTTGGGGGGAGGTGTGGTGCGCCACTTGGCACATTCCTTCTATTCAAATGGCATATTGACCTTCGTGTCAATGAAATGCTTCCTCTGATCATCTGCGGGTCAGGGGAAGTGAATTTTTTAAACATCTGCTAGCTCATCACTGTTGTGATTAATCACTTTGATTAATTTTTTTGTGCATTGCTGATCGGGAAACCGCCAGCAGCTGTGGCTTTGATCAAAAATATACAGACAGGCAAAGAAAAGTAATTTTTAATTTGGTTGTTGTGGGTTTGTCGGGCTCTTTGGCCACATTCTGAAGGTTGTTCTTCCTAACGTTTCGCCAGTCTCTGAGGCCGGCACCTTCAGAGGACAGCACTCTGCGCTCTCAAGTGCTGTCCTCTGAAGATGCCGTCCAGAGAGGAAGATGCCGCCAAGAGAGACTGGCGAAACGTCAGGAAAATCAACCTTCAGAACATGGCTAAAGAGCCCGAAAAACCCACAAAATAACTATTATATCCTGGCCATGAAAGCCTTCGCAAATAAATTTTTAATTTAATAGAAGCGATTCATTGCAGCAGTGACAATCTAGCAGATGCAGTTAAAACAAGTTCACTTCCTTTATCCCTCCACAGATGATCAAGGGAAGTATTCAGTTTCTTATATCCTGAGGTGACTCACAATACTGGGAACTGAAACCAGAACAAGCTGCAAGGTTCTTGTTCAGTCCATTCCCAGTGACTATGCTTGCTGGGAACAGTCTAAACTGGAGCTCCCCAACCAACACCAAAATAATAGAAACCCCATGACAGGGGTTCAGAAAGGTGCAATTGGTCCACTCCAGTGATGTCCATTTGTGGATGCCAGAAAAAAAGAGTGGACCAACCAGACCCACCAGCGCACCAAACAGCAAGCAGGACAAATGTCCTTGAGGATAAGCTGTCATTTTTGGAGGAAGTTCATAGCAAAGGAGGCTTTAATTGGAATCCTAGCTAAAAAGTTTGTAGCCCAAGCATGAGGGAGAAAGAAGAGGATATATTCCTGGGCTCAACCAAGCCTGCAGCTGCATTATTATCAGGGGGCATAGGCCTAAATTATAGTATGCTAGGGAGATGATCAACCCTGCGTGCTCACTGGAAGGACAGATCCTGAAGCTGAGGCTCCAAGACTTTGGCCATCTCATGAGAAGACTCCCTGGAAAAGACCCTGATGTTGGGAAAGTGTGAAGGCAAGAGGAGAAGGGGACGACAGAGGACGAGATGGCTGGACAGTGTCATCGAAGTGATCAACATGACTTTGGCCCAACTCCGGGAGGCAGTGGAAGACGGGAGGGACTGGGGTGCTCTCTGGTCCATGGGGTCACGAAGAGTTGGACACGACTAAACGACTAAACAACAACAACAAAGTGCTGACCAGTAACCATCTTATCCATGGAGCAAACCGCCTTATTTGGCACCCAATCTAGAAAAACTCAGCAATCTCTCACCGGACTTTCAAAGCAACAAGAATTCTGGACGTGCTCTGAGCTAGGCCACTCACCAGCTCCCCTGGCTGAACTAGTCTCTACATTTCTCCCTGAAGCCCATCGACCGGTGCTCCCTGCAGGGGCAGATTTCCAAAATGTGGGCAAACCGTGTTCTGAAAAACGTTTCCCCGGTTCTCCCATAGTGTATGGTTCTTAAGGAGGGGTCACAGGTGGAAATGAATTTCCCAGAAGCTGTGATTTATTTCCTCCCCCCACCCACCCCTGAAAAAAACCTGAACAGAAAGAACTTGTGCATAAAAATCATTTTTTTTTCCAAAAATTCATTGTGGCTAAAATGGGAACTGGCTGACATGACATTCATATGTTGTGGTCGCTGTTATGTGTGGTCATAAGTTGACCCCGACTTATGGCAACCCTATGAAGGACAGATCTCCAGAATGTCCCGTCCTCGACACCCCTGCCCAGCGGTTGCGAACTCAAGCCTGCCCCATCCTTTAAGACACTGGTTCCCAACCTTTTTCAAGTTGCGACCCCCCTTTGATAATAGCCAAATCCCTTGCAGCGCTCTGCCATGTGTGCAGAAATAAGCCGCCATTCCTGCTGCTGTTGCTCGCCCTCCCACTGCTTCTGTTTCCGACTCCATTGCCCCCTTTTTCAAAACTGGGGAGGGAACCGACCAGGGGAGGTTAGAGGTAGGAGAAGAGAAGGCCAAAGGACTTTGAAGTCAAAAGACATCAAAGATGGGGCAGGTAGCAAAAGGACATTGCTGGACCCTTGACCCAGAGCGGGTCCCACTCAGAAACTGTCACAAAACTTTCCTTGCACCCACGAGCCGAGTCGGAGTCATTGAAAAAGAAAAACTTTGTCAAGTCTGAGTTGAGTCCCCAGTGCGAATTTAGTCCGACTTGACAGCGGGTCCCGTGACTCAAATCCCCATCCCTGGGGGGGGGGGTGCGAAATACTCACAAGCATCCCTTCTCTGAAAGTAGAGGCTTTTTTCTCCACAAACTTTAATATCCCACTTTGAAAGGTGAAGGAAGAAATTATTTAATGAGGGTGGTAACACATATAAAGTGCCCCCCTCCAGAAATCATTTGGTAACCCCCCCCCCTTGGTGATCATGACCCCAGGGTTGGGAACCACTGATTTAGGGAGTTGATCCATATCGTATTTGGCCTTCCTCTTTTCCTATGGCCTTCCATCTTTCCCAGCATTATGGGGTATTTTTCCAGAGAATATTGTATAGTATTTTTAAAACTGTTGTTGCTTTATAGTTTTAGTTGTTATGAACCAACCTGGATCCAGATGGGAAGCGAGGAAACAAACAAACAAACAAACAAACAAACAAACAAACAAACAAACAATATGTCTATCCTGCTGTATTTTTAGAGGTGAGTTAAAAGGGCCCAGGCCAGTTTGCGACCATAAAAAGACAGTATTTAAGCTAACAATGGTGAGTGTACAATACTAAAAAAGATCAAATGAATGCAATACTGAAAAAACATAAGCAACACCAAAAACAAATTCAAAGCAGTAAGGCACAAAAGTCCATTTAAAAATTCCACTCAGGCGGGCAATCACTCAGGGAAAGCTTGCCTGAAGAGGTAGGCCTTTGCCTGCTTGTGGAAGGACAGCAACGATGGGGCCAGACCGGCCTCTGGTGGGAGGGAGTTCCACAGCCTCTGGGAGCAGCCACAGAGAAGGCCCTCTCCTGTGTCCCCCATCAAATGCACCTGCGAGGTGGCGGGACCAAGAGAAAGGCCTCTCTTAATGATCTTAATGTGGGGCAGGCTCATAGAGGGAGATGAGGTCTGAAAAACCACTTCTATGTTCCTAATACCTAGAAAATACCGGGAGGGTCGTTTATTAATTGAGACAACAGGAGATGGTTGGAAATTTTGTTTAGTTTGACTTGGTTAAAAACATCCCAAAATAAGCACCTTGCTTCAAAACAGAAAAATTTAAACAAAATAATAATAATTAAAGGAGAAGCACACAGGCCTGGCAGATTTACTAGCCTGATGTTTGTGCAGCAGACAGAGAATATATATACATGCACTATATATATAGTGTGTGTGAGTGTAAATCAAAATAAGCACCTTGCTTCAAAACAGAAAGAATTAAACGAAATAATAATAATTAAAGGAGATGCACACAGGCCTGGCAGATTTACTAGCCTAATGTTTGTACAGCAGGCAGAGAATTTATTTATGTATTTATGTAT